ACGTAATTTCATAGAAAAGATCAAATTAGATACTAGATTAAAAAGTCAATTTTATAAGAAAAAAAAAAAAATCAAATTGGATAACTGATTACCTTAATTTTATCTTTCAAAAGTGATATACTATTTGGTGCCAAAGCTTTCCAATTTACCTCTTCTTGGAATTTCCCTCGTAAGAATCCCATATTTTTCAATGATACTAACTCGTTTCTAATAAGATGGGTTAATAAAATTCAGAAAAACATCATTATTTTTTTGCGCAAATACCTCACTATATAATAAATATAATTTTTAATTAAGTTTTTTTTTGATATATGTATACTGTACTTTTGTCAGAAATAAATGTCGGCCTTTAAATTTTAATTTTTAGATCTTTAGTTCATCACATTGAAAGTGTAGTAAGCTGTCGACATCCTCAAAACGCACCTGCAATTTCAAGTTAATTAACAATGATTCAGTTAAGTTTATATATACTGTACAAGTATAGTTTTTTATTAAAATTTACTGCTTAGTACGAATCCGTAGTCTCATTCAATTAAATTTGACAAACAAACGAGGATTGATGATTTCGAAGTGTAAAAATAATTGACTAAATTTAATGAACGAGGTTCGTTACATATTACTTTATACTGTATCTTTTTTGCAACTTTACTTTGTGAATTCAATTATTATCACGAATAACGCAAGACCAAAAAACGATATTAATAAGCTATCAGCTTGATACGGATGATGCAGTATTAGCATGACAGATTTATTCGACAACTTACTATGATTTGCCTGCATAAAAATCATGGTAAGCTGCTGGATAAAAAGACCAATCAAATTAAGAACAGGAAATAACAAAAACTTAAAAATATTTACGAATTTGTTAATTTATATTGTCTTTTCAAATTACAAAAAATATTTATATTGTATAAAGTATGCAATTCTCTTATAATAAAAAACCTATCAATTTAAAGAGATTTCCTGCTGGAAACCGGCAAGATGTCAGGTGATCTTTATCGGATAATTTTAAAAAATTTTAATCTAATCAATAGAAAAATTTATCATGCTCTCCAATTTTATTAAAGCTCGCTTTCTGAGGCGTTTAATGCCTAAATCCACAAATTGTATCGGTATAAATTTTATAATTATTTTCAATGTATTTTGTACTCAAAACACAAATATATCTTTTCATATGTAAAATTATTCATAAACAGCAACAGCGCGTATACACAGTAAACCATCCCAGCTTGACACACAAACCATAACGATAAAATTAAAAATCAAAAAGCAGAATAGCGTCGATAAACACGTGGAATTCTGCGAAAAACTCGGGATAACATTTTCAGATAAAAATTTAATACACCAAGTTTGTACACATAAGTCAGTTAGGTCTAATACAGCGCCTACAAATGAGCGGTTGGATTTTTTGGGTAACGTGATATTTTTTAATTAATTATTCTAAATTTTCTTTTTTTTTAATTAGATAATTAATTCTTAAAATATAGGACAAAAAGTCATATCACTTTACGCAACTGAATACCTATTTAATCAAGTGAAGCCTTCAGAATTACATGATCATGTTTATTTATACACAAAAAGATCCTTAAATATTGGTAAAATTGGTATTAAAATGGGGTTAAACAAGCTGTTACATTGGACACCGGTACATTTCTATATCTATTTAATATACATTATGCTTTTTAATATATTCGTGTTGATGCTTATATACATATATTATATATATATTATATATTTTTTTATTTAATAGATTAATGAATCACAAGTAATTGAAGCAGAAAAAAATGGACAAAATTTACAAAGTTCAGGAGAAGAAAGTGTTACCGGTAGAGCACTTCAGGCACTTGTTGGAGCAATATATCATGATCAGGTAATAAATTTTCAATTTTGTTTTATTATCGTCAAAATCTAAAAATTATTTTTATTTTAAGGGCGCATACGCGGCAAAGCAATTTGTCCATAAACATATATTATCGGCGCCTATGGAACTTAGGTAATGTTATTATAAGTATTATATAATTGGTATATATTTGAAACATCATTTTTACTAATACCAAAATATATATTTTATAATAAATAAAATATTGAAGCCAAAAACAAAAATAAATTTAACTTGTATTTTTAATAATATACGATAGAAACTAGAGATTACCTTCACACAAGAATAATTACGTTATATCATAACAAAACGGTGAATTTTGTAATAGCAGATAGTCAATTTAATATAATTCCAAAAATCGTAACATGTTAAATATTCAAGAGAGAACTATGTATCTCGAGCGAGGTACATCTATATCAGAAACAGAAAATTTCTTTATAAAGAACTTTCGACAATTTTTTATAAATGCATTAAATAAATTAGAGTTGGCAAAATATAACATATTGATACGTAAATTCACCTCGTGTACAACATATCTCACGCGAAACTATACCATGCCATATCAGCATGAGTCATGCAATAAAAATTCATTTTATACGTAGTGAAAAAACAAAAATTTTTGTTTATTTTACTTTATAATTAATAATAACTAGAAAAACGGCGACGTTTTGTAGGCTGGAGCCTTAATTCTTAGGCTTTATACTTTAGAATTAAAATTAAAATAT